CCCATCTAGAATTGAAAGGTTTGTCACTGAATCTGTGAGAAAGACCCTGTCACAAGCCATTAAACTCCGTGAAAGGCCCAGTGCACAGTCGATAGGCTCGGTTCTCCACTGCCTGGTTAATGGACATGGACAATGAGCTGATTACAAGGCTGAGCAGCTGTAGAAAGGGAAAAGAGAGGGCACGAAGAGATGAGCAGAATAGACATGCAACACCAAGTATGCCAGAACCAACACTGAAGTATTCATAAAATGCATATTGAATATATCACCAATTTTCTAGGTAAATGTATTTCTGGTGGTATTGGTGTTAGATTCTCACAGGATGTCAGTAAAAAAAAACATCCAATCCACACATGCAAAGAAATCAATCAACAGATGTCCATAAATGATGTGTAATAATGAGAAATGACATGAGGAGAAAGTATTAAAAATGCTTACTACAATTTGTTGAATACTTTGTACAAAAGTCTTTGTTGGTGAGAATGATTCTGCACAGTCTTAAAATCCTGAATGCTTTGTGGGCCCCTTCTATGAGCTTTCATCTTCATCGTCCTCGTAGATGACAGCAGATATTTATCAAGAATGTCTTGGTACATTTTCCATTCATCCTTCCTGCAATTATTTGAAATGTCCCAGTGCCGTACACTGAAAAACAGTCCCACGCCATGATGTTCCCGCCTCCAACCTCACTGTTGGTATGGTGTTTTTGGGGTGAGGCTGTTTGACCTCCATACATGGTGTGTATTATGGCTATTATGGAGGTATGTATGCTCATATTGAGGAGGGAACATGTCACCCAGTGTAGCTCCCCAGAGTTTGTGGACAGAGGAGCTCTTTTAAACATGATGGATTATGTGGAATTATAAAATCTTGTGGAAGATCAAAGGTAAAATGATTTAAAGTTATGTAAATTATTAAACTTGTGTCTTTTTTCCAAAGGGCCAAGTGACAGACACTAATCGAAGACTACAAGATGCAGGCAGGGAGGTACGTCCATGCTGTTCCCCTGTGAAGAAATCTGCATGTACATTTACTGCAAAGAGAGTTCCCTATAAGACATGACTGTACTTCATCCCAGTGGTGCCCTCTTTTTCACTGTCTCCAACACTGCGTTCTCTCCCACAGGTGACAGCTCAGACAGAGGAGGTGATTCGCTGTCGGGTCCAGCAGAGGAACATGGCGACCACTGTGGAGAAACTCCAACTCTGTATACCAGGTACTAATGCTGCCTCTGCTTCAGTGAGAAGGATTTTGATTTTGTTGTTCAGTTTTGAACAGTGTTATCCAGCTGGCTGACCTCAGGAGTCTTTATATATATATCATAGTTTAAGTATGAGCTGTCACAACACTGTTTCCACTGCTACATGTGATTCCTTATATAAAGGAATGAGGATGTGGCATGATGCAGATTGAATGCAGACTGCTTGCAGACTGGATGCAGATTGAATGCAGACTGCATGCAGATTGAATGCAGACTGGATGCAGATTGAATGCACTGAATGCAGACTGAATGCAGTAAATGCAGATTGAATGCAGTGAATGCAGATTGAATGCAGACTGGATGCAGATTGAATGCAGACCGGATGCAGATTAAATGCAG